TAAACATATGGGTTGAATCCATGGGAACAGAGGAGAATACGGAAGGAAAGGATAAAGACTAGAATGCTTGAAGAGGTGCAGTTCTTTTAAAGTGTGCGCTGCAGGAGAGGAGCCTGGGAAGGATGATGCCAAACAGCCCCCAACCCCTGCCTGGGGAGGCCACCAGCTCCCATACCCCAGTCTTTACTGCATTATTCACCTGCCTACCAGAAGTACACTATTTTCTGCTCCTAATATAGAAGTCAAGTCATGTGACTTATCAGCTCAGAAATCTTAGCTGGTGCTCTGTTTGCCTTTAAAGTCCAAATCTCATAAATTTTAATCTACCTCTCATCCTTCAACGTTTGAATAGACATTCTGACCAGTTTTTCCTCATCTCCCAAATCATCCTCCTTGAGCACACTGCCTTGCACACACAAAGCCTCCAGCCTCTGCTTACCCCAGTTTCTCCAACTGTATAGTTTTTGCACCACTCCAGTGCTCACAGTTTCAGTTTATTCCTTAGGAGTTAGCTAAATGTTTCCTCCACTGAGAATCCTTCTCTGAAGCCTCCAGTTGCAATTCAGGCCTTCTGTTCTTTTATATCTGCACATTTCTTTTCTCCTTATCGTAATGTGGGTCTTTCTCTGCCTCATTGCTTATCTCCATGCCTTTCCCTGTTAGAGTACAAGATATTAGAACCTGCTTAGCTTTGCATCCCCAGGGTGTGTAGCATACTCCTTGCCCCTAGAGTGGCGTTCTGTTAAGTATCTGGCGTAACATCTTACAGAAAAGCCCAAACTTTTTGGCCAACTCAATATTTGTTGTTCCTACCTGGCATAATAAATCATAAATCAAGATGAAGGCTTTCACTTTTTGTTTTAATATACTAGAAGGGGCTTCGCTGGTGGCTCAGTGGTAAAGAATCTGCCTGCCAGTGCAGCAGATGTGGGTTTGATCCCTGGGTTGGGAAGATCCCCTGAAGAAGGAAATGGCAACCCACTCTAATATTCTGGCCCGGAAAATCCCTTGAACAGGGGAGCCTGGTGGGCTACAGTCCTTGGGGTCGCAAGAGTCAGACATGACTTAGTGACTAAACAACAATATACTTCTAGAAACTACATCTTAATGCAAAGGAATATTTTGTTCTTAAGGAAAAGCATAATTGGAAGATTGAGTGCCAAATACAGCTCATGGAACCAATAATAAATTCTAAAATCAAAGGATCAACAGCAAACTTATATGAATATTTAAAATCATAAAATTATGCCCCCCCCATCCAAACACAACTTTGGCAGGAGAGAAAACCTGAAAGAGCTTGTGTAGTGGAGCAGTTTGTAAACTCTTCTCTGTAGCGCCCTATTCCTCTGGGCTCTGGGGAGTCGATCTAGGGAGGCAAGGTTTGCCTGGCCTCCAAACCTCAATTCACCTAGAGAAATTCTAGGTGTTTAAGTGTTTGTATGTGAGGCTTTCAAACAGAATTGTATTGAAAAAGAGCTTAGCTGTTAAACTAAGCTGTTAAATCAGTTTGAAATACAGGATTATAACCTTCAGGCTTCTTCTATAATCTTGGTAACTCTGGGCCTCCATTTCCTCATCTGTAAAATGGAAGAATGGTGCTATGATAGTTCATGCTTTTATTCTGAGCACCTCCTGTACTTTTTCAAGTAGAAAACAGACCTCGGGAGAAGTTAAGTGGCTTCCTTGGGCCACATAGAGTTAAGGATAGAATCAAAATTATAATTTAACCAACAGCCCAGGTTGTTGGGCTTTTTTCCTCTTTTAAAAAAATTCCTACAAGTGAGTATAAAAAGAAATTGCAGTTATTAATTCTTTGGAAAATCAGGAGGTATATAAATAGCACATAAAAATAAAGCTATATTTTATCATAAATTTGCCTTATTTAAAGCTGGTGTGCTACATTGATCAAATATCTACCTAATATTACGTTCACTCTTCCAAGTTTATAGAAATATTTGGGTGAGTTGTTTGCATGGCCTGTTTCTTTTTTACACAGTTATTTATGAGCTGCTTCTCCTTGGTAAATCTCCATGTAATCAAGGGAGGCACTGAAAATCATTCCATTAATCATTCCTTTCATGTTTGTCTCACTGCATCTAAATTTACGAGCATCACTAGAAATAGTGAGGGTTTGGAAAGCAAGAGTCAATAGATTCTGATCCTTTCATTCATCTCCTTTGCTTTGCTCATCTTCCTCTCTTCATCCCCTCCTCTCCAAATCAAGGGTATCCATGAAGAGGAAATTAAGTCCCCAAACAGCTGAGAGGTGTGAGTGGACAGGAGGGAAAGAAGGGCAGTCATGCTCCTTGGCCTTGATGGTGGGGGATGCTTATGGGCTGATTGTCTCATAGCTTTGGGGGCTTTTTTGTTTAAAAATAAAGTGAAACAAAACAGCTCACAGAGACGCGTCCTTCTTCCCCCTCCTCCTGCCTCCATGAATAACTACCCATATGGCGCTCTGCTGCTGAGACCAAGGAATGAGTGAGTAAAGGTATTTAGAACTGAAGTTTTGGTCCTAATTAAATAAGTGTCCTTTTACAAATCAGTGTTAAAACTTTGTAATGTGGATCCCCTAGTAATTTGTGGTTCATGGAATTTGAACCCAGGTTAAAACAACCTTTGCATCTTGAGAAAGGACCTGGATGTGCCCACCATACTAATGCAGGAACACAGTAGGAAACGGGGCAAGGACAGAGCTTAACCTGCTTAAGTCAGATTTCTGAGGACATCACAGCACCCATTTCACATGAAAAGTCTATTAAAAACAGGTTTGGGAAGACCTGCATGTGGCCAAATGTTACTTGTTCGTCAGGGTCACAGCACGCAGGGAAAAGCAACATTGACTCAACAGTGATGGATAATTCAGTCTGACTTTTCTTCCCTCAACCTCTGAAGTAGACTCAAACTCTGATTAGAGCCATGATTTGGGTTTTTTTTTTCTTTTTTAATCCACTGATTTTACAACATTTCATGTATGCAGTCGGCCTTCCTTACCCATAGGTTCTGCATCTAGAGAGTCAACCAATCATGGTTCACAATTACATGGGAAAAAATTCAAGAAAGTTCCATAAAAGCAAAATGAATTTGCCACACTGGCACCCATTTACTTAGCATTTACATTGTATTTACACCTATTTACATAGCACTTGTATCATATTAGGTATTTAAAAGTAATCTAGAGATGAGTTTAAGTATACAGGAGGTTGTTAGGTTATATGCAAATACTACACCATTATATAAGTCACTTTTAGGATCTGTAGATTTTGGTATCTGGGGGGTGGGTGGAGTGTCCTGAAACCAATCCTCCTCAGATACTAAGGGACAACTGTATATATGTACCTTTATTTAAGATGTTGCTCTTGCATTGGGCAAAGAGAAGTAATACTTAGACCATGTAAAAGAAGCATTTTACCATGAATTTGATTGCACTGTTTGGAATTCATTCCATAAGCCTGAGAAAAAACTGGAAAAATTAGGTTATAATTGATGCTTTCTGAGAGGTTTTGATAGTTTTCTTCTTAATGGGTTGGCTTGAGGGCAGGTAGACTATTCTGCAATCTGCATTTGTCCTTGAATTTAGATTTTCTGTGTACTTGTAACTTTTTTCGCAAACACATTTTAACTGAGTCAGATTATCTTCAAATAGTTGAGAAAAATAAAAGATTGGTTCTTTTGATGTTCTTTAAAACACTACAGCATCCACCTTCCACCACTGAGTCTCCTTGTCCTTTAACTCTTATTTTTATTACATGCTTGATTTAAAGCTATATAGCCAGCAATAATATCACATAATTATGGTCCAGAAAAGTACAAAATCCTCTTGAAATCTTTATGATAAGAAAAGTAATACTTGTCTAAAGGTGCTCAGTGCCAAATCTTGCCGAAATCTGATTGTGAAGGAGGAAATCTAAAAAGGCAAAGCAAGTTTCAGTAGAGATAAGACTGGGAAAGCAGTAGTTACTCAAAGAAGTTAAGACTGAAACAGAAAGTTTTACTCCATTCCTTTCACTTCGTTTTGTGTTTTTTTGTTTTCTGGACTTTTAAGAATTTAATTAGATAATTATGGTATATCTCTTTCATTCGTATGTAATTCAAAGCTTTAACACAGTAAGATTTGTATTTTCTATGTGAAGTTTAAGTAGATCATTTCCATAACATGTAATTATCTCTAAATAAGATTTCCAAGTCTGCTTTATGGCAACATTGAATTGATTTCTAAAATACTGTCTCATATCAAACACCATTGTTCCACACTATACTTTGATTTGGAATGGGGCTTCCCTGTTGGCTTAGGTGATAAAGACTCTGCCTGCAGTGCAGGAGACCTGGGTTCAACCCCTGGATCGGGAAGGTCCCCTGAAGATGTGAATGGCTACCCACTCTAGTATTCTTGCCTGGAGAATTCCATGGACAGAGGAGCCTGGCGGGCTACAGTCTGTGGGGTCACAAAGAGTCGGATACAACTGAGCGACTAAGAACAGACAAGCGCAGAGGAACCGTCTAACTCAGGGTGTAATCTGGCACCACTCAAAGTGCTTATTTGATTTCCTCATGGAGGTGCCATTAATAAAACAGGCTGAGCAAAGTTTGTGGAAGATTTAAAGAGCTTGCAGATTCAGAATTTTACACACACTTCAGTGTGTGGCTTCATGAAAATACAGAGTGCAGTGGGAAGGTTACAAAGGAAAGATGCAGTGGTGGAAGGTAAACACACAGCTTAAGTGATACAACACAGCATCACTGACTTAATTTAGGCTGATTCACAGCTGACTCTTTTTGACACACACCTAAAAGCTCACTTTATTCACAAAGAGTGCTTAACCCTCTGAAGAGCTGTTCCCTTGGTTTTCTGTGGGAGTGAACAGGTTATGCTGATAGACACTGTGTTCAGAACAGGCCTGCTTGCCCCTCATTCAGCCAGTTGGTGGGTCTTCAGCAGGTGCATATTGCCAGTGTTGTCTTTTGTGATTTGTGACTTACTCTTTGTTTTTCTTTCACAGCAGTCATTCAAGTCCCAGGATTTCAGACTGAGCTCAGAGTCCATGGCACAGTAAGCAGCTTTTCCTCCTAAATAATTTGCAGTGATAAATAGTTGGTGTTTCTTTTAAGGACACTTTCTCCATTTCTCTCTTCATAGCACCACACTACAAAAGTTACGAGACACACGTTTTGAGGCATTAATGTATAAAGGCTAATACCTGGGATATTATCCTTGTATATTTCTTACAGATGCCTTAAGTATTTGAGAAGTTTTTAAAGTGTTTATTTTAAAAAATCTCTAGGAAGTTTTGTATTTTTTTTTGGTACTTGCTATTAATACATTACTTAATACATAAATGGATAATCTCTTTTACCTCAAAAAAATATTGAAAACTGTTGCAAAGTATGTCTCAGTTTTTATCATTGCAGATCATATTGTACCTAATTTGAAGCTGAAACTTCACATTCATACATCACCAGCAAACTGTCACCTGAATGTAACAACCTTGAACAGCTCGGGTATCTGCCATGCCCTCCCATCCCACATCACCATTCCCACATCTGGGTACATGCTTCCACACACATACACACAGGGAATGCCTACTGAGTGTCCTTCAGGAAAACATTTATTCAGGAATCCTGCTATACCCACTCCAGTATTCTTGGCTGGGAAATCCCATGGACAGGAGCCTGGTGGGCTCCATGGGGTCGCACAGAGTCAGACATGACTGAAGCAACTTGGTCCTCCTGCATAGGCAGGCAGGTTCTTTACCACTGGCACCACCTGGGAAGCCCATCTAGGACTGTATATCATTATGTATCATATATGAAGCCCTGTGTTGCTTCAGAGCACAGTCGCTCATCACCACATTTGAGTCTCCGCATTCCCCTGCAGACCCTTGCTCTTACCCCTCCTCTGCACATGGAGAAACATGACCTGAGAGGTAGGAAGAGGCGGACCCGGTCCCAGAACACAGATCCTCTGTTCCCTAATCTGTGTTCTCCCCACACTTTCACTCTGCCTGTCACATGACACAAAGACATGTTCCAGGTCTTTCCGTTTTTTGTTTTTTATTGTATCTGCAAGGTATGTTTTCAGTTCCAATCTCTGAATAATTGAAAGTTTGCATAATAGTTGATGAGATAATAGCTGACTCTGAGGTGTGTATACTCAATGACAGATCACATATATGAAAAAACATGCTGGATCAATACAGACAAAAACTCTGTTTCAACAACCAGAAGTGACCATGTTTGAATACATTATGGGAACAGTGCTCTCTTTGAACATGTTTTGTAAAATACCTTAGAACTTTTACCTAAGATGTGAATGAAAGACTCTGTCCTCACTCTGATCACTTTGGATACATATCTTCAGATGATACGAAGATGCCAGACAATGCTCTCCAGATGAAAATTCAGAAAAGCCTCAGAAAGCATCCCAGCATGTCAGGGTAGCTAGGCTTCTCTTTTTGAACACAGAGTACTTCACAAGCTTCTGAAAATAAATCTTCACGAGAAGTTCAGTTATGTCTCAGTGCTCAGGTTCATCTAAGGCCTTTGGGCTTTCCCTATACTCATAATTTCTTAGAAGTAAGGATGAATTAAGATACATTTCTCATGATTTCAAAACTGTAGGCGACTTGAAGATGGAAATGCTATAGCCCAGTATGTAACAAAGTCATTTCTTTATTTCTCTAACTTACTTAAATGAGTCCATTGTACCCAAGTAAATGGATAGAAGCTAATTTTTTTTTTTTTGTTTCTTTGTAGTTTTGCCATTTGGTTCCTAACATGTGCTTATTAGCTGATTGACCAGGCTATGTAAATGAGCCACATAGGACTTCTCTCACCACTTTCTACTTGAATTTCCTGTCTCATTTATACTTTAAAAAATTTTTTTAAGAAATGTCAGTCACTTCTGTGCAAACAATCTACACATTTTAGTTAAAGCTACACTCTTGATACTAAGAAGAAATTGTATAGGTTAATTTTAAGCCTTTTTCTTGAAAGTCTTAAACTTTTACCTTTTGTATCTCATGCGTCTATGATGTGTTTATCTGCTGCTAAGTCAGTTTTCTATGAAGCTTCTACAAATATGTTTTAATCCTTAAATAATATTAGTGTTCCCTAGTTGCTAATGTATCTTATATTGAGTTTGGGGGTTTCTTTTGAAACACAGAATATTTTACTTCATTAACAGCTTTGATCAGAGAGAATTTAATTCAGATGATCAGTAATACTAAAGGCCTTTATTTGTCAACACTCATATGTGAATTGAATGAATAAATGAAATCTCTTCTTAATATAATGTAGTCGTTGAGTGTTAATTCCAATTATCCAATCTCTCCTCCACTATATATTTTCCATATTTATAATCATCACATTCCAAACTCCTTCACTTTCTTCTTCTTTTCATGAGAAGAAATTAATTCTTACCAAGTGTCAACCATTCTTGAATAAACATTCTCCAGGTTACTACAAGCTCTTGGCTAATTTCCAAAATTTCAAAAACTTAAATTTTAAAAAACCATTTTTGCCAGTTTTCCCATAGCTTATTTGGAGGAGAAATTTTTCAGAAGTCCTTCCACCACTGTTTTTGCTGATGTAACTCTTTCTTCTTCAGATGTTGAGTAGACTTACTAGTAAAGCTATCAGGGCCTGGAATAGAAGATTTTAACTACAAGTTCAATGTGTCTAATGCAAGTACGGCCATTAAGGTTGCATATTTCTTATATTGTTATTGTTTAGTTGTTAGGTCATGTCCAACTCTGCGAATGCATGGACTGCAGCATGCCAGGCTTCCCTGTCCTTGCCTGTCTCCTAGAGTTTGTTCAAACTCATATCCTTTGAGTCAATGATGCTGTCCAACCATCTCATCTTCTGTTGCCCTCTTCTCCTGCCCTCAGTCTTTCCCAGCATCAGGATCTTTTCCATTGAGTAGGCTCTTCACATCAAGTGGCCAAGGTATTGGAGCTTCAGCTTCACCAGTCCTTCCAATGAATATTCAGGGTTGATTTCCCTTAGGATTGACTGGTTTGATCTCCTTGCAGTCCAAGGGACTCTCAAGAGTCCCAGCACCACAATTCAAACACATCAATTCTATGGTGCTCATCCTTCTTTATGGTCCAACTCAACTCTTACATCCATACATGACTACTGGAAAAACCATAGCTTTGACTGTATGGACCTTTGTCAGCAAAGTGATATCTCTGCTTTTTAATACACTGTCTAGGTTTGTCATAGCTTTTCTTCTAAGAAGCAAACATCTTTTAATTTCATGACTGCAGTCACCATCCACAGTGATTTTGGACCCCAAGAAGATAAAATCTGTCACTGCTTCCACTTTTTCCCTTTCTATTTGCCATGAAGTGATGGGACTGGATGCCATGATCTTAGTTTTTTGCATGTTGAGTTTTAAGCCAGTTTTTTCACTCTCCTCTTTCACCCTCATCAAGAGACTCTTTAGTTCCTCTTCACTTTCTGCCATTAGAGTGATACCGTCTGCATATCTTCTCCCAGCAATCTTGATTCCAATTTGTGATTCACCCAGCCTGGCATTTCACATGATGTACTATGCATACAAATTAAATAAGCAGGGTGACAATATACAGCCTTGACATACTCCTTTCCCAATTTTGGACCAGTCCGTTGTTCCATGTCCAGTTCTAACTGTTGCTTCTTGACCTGCATACAGGTTTCTCAGGAGACAAGTAAGGTGGTCTTGTATTCCCATGTCTTTAAGATTTTCCAAAATTTGTCATGATCCACACAGTCAGAGGCTTTAGGGTAGTCAATGAAGCAAAAGTAGATGTTTTTCTGAAATTCCGTTGCTTTCTCTATAATCCAGCGAATGCTGGCAATTTGATCTCTGGTCCCTCTGCCTTTTCTTTTCTTCTTATATAGGCATTGGTAATCTGTGTCTTGCATAGAACTTCTCCATTTCATGCAAGTTGTTTAATTTATTGACATAAACTACTCATAATATCCCCTTATTATCTTTTTAATATGAATAGAATCTGTAATAATATTGCCTTTTTAATTCCTGGTGTTGATAATTTATTTCTTTATTCTGGTTTCCCCAGTCGGCCTGGCAAATGATTTACGAATTTTTTTGAAAATAACAAGCTTTTTTCCATTGATTTCTCTTTATTGTTTATCTATTTTCTGTTTCACTGATTTCCACTCTGATCTTTATTTCTGATAATTTTGAGTTTAAGTTGTGCTTCTTTTTAGCTAGATTTGTTAGGTAGGGCTTGAACAGTATTTAGTCTTGGACTGTTTATTCCTCACCACTAATAAAAATCCCTTTTAGATATTCTACCTAATGCCTTCTGAGTTGTGAGGTTTTCCATCCTGGCTGATGGAAGTAGATACTGTTCCTGGCCTCAGGACGTGTCCTCAGATGTATACGTTCACCTGTACTCTGCTGAATATTCGTAGGGGACCCTTGCAAGTCTTCACGTTCTCCCATTCTCTCCTCTCTGGCAGTCTGTGAACTATAGCCTTCCTGCTCTCCTCAGCCTCCTAGCCCTCACTCAGGGAGTCTGCCACGTTCCACACCATTTTCATCTGCCTGTGCTGTAGCCTGGAAACTCTCAAGGCAGTAAGCTAGGCGATCATAGGGCTGATCTTATTTATTTTCCATTTCTTTGTTATCACTTTCTTTTGTTGCCTATGGTTCAGTGTCTTGAAAATGGTTTCATATATTTTATCCAATATTTGTGGTTGTTTTAGGTGAGCAGTTTACTTGGTCCATGTTACTCCATCTTGGAGGCAAGCAGAAGTCCAAATGTTGTATTTTTCAGGGCAGCTTTCTGTTAGATTGTATGTACATCATAAGGAAAAAAATGTGGAAAGGATCACTCAGTCTGATTTTTCTGCAGTGGTCAGGAAAAGCCAAAGGTGTAAGAGCATTTAAGTCTTAAAAGCCATGTAGAGACAAGGTGAACAAAAAAGGAAAGGACCTAGAGAAATCGGAAGAGGGGCAGGAGCTAAGGCACAATTGCAGGGAGGTGCCTGGAATACCTGGAGGCCAGCAGGGTACCCTATGACTGGAACAAAGTGGGG